TTCCAAGGAGTTCAATGAACTGTTCAATTTTTCCCAAGGTGGGAGCTTGTATTAGAACATCATCTATAGTCAGTTTAGGAGAAGAATTCGTCCAAATGGTTCGAAATTAAAAAAAGGAGATAAGGAGGGCAAAAAGAAACTATGAAGTTCGCATAGTAGGGCAAACAATGACAAATCCTAAAGTTTTTTCAGTTATATCGAACAAACATTAGGGAAAGGATAGGTTCATTAAAATCTGAGACAGTTCAGATAACGGATAATGACGAAGAGATGAGTATGTATTTTTAATAAATATTTCAACTCTGTATTTACTTGAGAGGAACTTAACATTATGTCTTTAGGCAAACAAGTCTATGTGGGTGGGGACGAGAACAGTTTGACTAGTTTAGCAGTTACCAGAGAGGATGTTATTAAACAGATAGTGAAACTGAAGTTAAACAAATCCCCAGGGGCCAGATGAAGTGTTTGTCAGGGGGCTTAAAGAATGCAAATAGGACGTTTGCGAACAATTATGTACCATATTTAACAAATCATTAGAGTCAGGCAGAGTGCCAGAGTCGTGGAAGGTTGCTAATGTGGTACCAATTTTCAAGAATGGTGAAAGATCCCTTGTGTCTGTTACGTACCCTTATAAGATACGTAAGTAAATATATTAATATGTACATTTATAATTGTATGTAAATTACAAGCATGTATATTGTATACTTATATGTTCTATGCAAATGCACATTCATGTTACAGTGTTGGCGTTAGGCCCAACGTATCGTGGGAATGATTGTTTATTTCTTTGTGTGATCAGTTTTCCCACGGGAACTAATGATTTATATGTGATCATAAGTGGGTAACAGAGTGAAATAATAATTGAGTGAACTGTATCTGGCAAATTGTCGTGGGATCGTCCGTTGCTGGGTGTGCATGCCATTATGCTATTCTGTATGCATATTTTAATTACTATGTAAAGAACTATTACCTTTTGTTTGTGTATATCAATATGTACTAATTATTCATTAAGTTAGTTTAAGATTACTCTTGTCACAATGTAGTGCTCCATTGTTGAAATAATAAATATTGTAACTTTGGCAATTTATTCGCGGGGCAAGGCAATGTATTTTTTGACTCGCATATTGTTGTTCAGTAGCTGAGCAGAAACCAGGGAGATAACACTTGTTGAAGTTAAGTTCATTTGTTCTGTCTAGCCATATACATATATTAATATTGATTTAATGTCTGGAAGTTACAGTGATATTTTTAATGTGATATATATTGTGACCATATAATCATCTGTTTGCTTTTGAGATTTATTTAATATAATAGTATATATCTATACTTAGTGTCTTTATTCTTCAGTCCTATGAAGATTCTATTTTGTGCTCATTACTTATTAAGGGGTTATACTGGTGATTCGCTATTGAGAACAGCAGTTGTGTCGTATCCCTAGACTTATTAAAGTTTGGCTGCTGTAGGATCACGAGCCGTAACGTACGATAGGTAACAGTGTCAAACTATCGGCCAATTAGCTTAACGTCTATTGTGGGAAAATTACTTGAATCGATAATTGCAAATACCATTCGTCTTCATCTTGAAAAGCATAAATTAATAAATGATTCACAACATGGTTGTACAAATGGCCGTTCATGTTTAACAAATTTGCTATTATTTAATTCCAGCATAGTTGAGGCAGATGATAGTGGTAAGGTTTGTGATGTTGTGTACCTTGACTTTAGCTAAGCTTTTGATACAGTGCTACCAGAAAGACTGATTAAAAAGATAGAGGTTCATGGTATTGGGGGTGCGATATGATGTTGGATTAGGGCATGGCTATACCAAAGGAAACAGAGTCAGTATAAATGGGGTTAAGTCAGAGTGGGAAAATGTTGTAAGTGGAGTGCCTCAAGGCTCTATCGTGGGACCTCTGTTATTCATATTATATATAAATGATTTAGATTCAAGTTTGAATAGCAATATTTGCAAATTTGCCGATGATACAAAAATCGGGTTTGAAATAATCACGGAAAAAGACCCTATCACTTCAAGACGATCTAAATAGGGTTTTGAAATGGTCAATAGATTGGCAGATGCAGTTTAATGCTGACAAATGTAAGATTTTAAAGCTAAGTAATGATGATATAGTTACAAGATACGAGCTAGATGGTATTGAGATTGTTAAGTCAGATTGCGAAAGGGATCTGGGAGTTATGATTAGTTAGAATTTAAAACCGAAATATCAATGCATAAATGTTCGTAATAAGGCAAATAGGACACTGGGATTTATTAATCGAAATGTTAGTAACAAGACACCTGGTGTTGTTCTTCAGCTATATCTTGCTCTGGTTAGGCCCCATTTAGATGATACAGTTCAGTTTTGGTCGCCGTACTATAGAATAGATATTAATTCACTAGAATGCGTCCAGCGTAGGATGACAAAGTTAATCCCACAAATTAGAAACCTGTCACCTGCTAACGTTTTGACCATTTCAAAAACCCTATTTATATCGTCTTGAAGTGATAGAGAGTCTTTTTCCGTGTTTATTTCCCCTCCCGATTTTTTATCATAGGCAAATTTGCAAATATTGCTGCTCAAACACGAATCTAAATCATTTATATATATTATGTATAACAGAGGTCCCAGGACAGAGCCTTGAGGCACTCTACTTATAACATTTTCCCACTCTGACTTAACCCCATGTATACTAACTCTTTTTTTTTCCTTTGGCATAGCCATGCCCTAGTCCAACTTAATATAGTACCCACCAGCATTAGATTCAAGTATTTATATAATGTTTGGTTCTTCAGATCCTTTGTTATCCATTTAGGGTCATTATTATTTAATCTATTCAATTTGTTTGGTATACTATGTTCCTGTGCTTTGCTTAGAATATTTTTAAATAAGCAATATTTTGAGTCCACATCGAAATCCCTTTTCATATCACCCATCGCTGGGTTCACGTCTCGCTCCAAGACCAGCCCACCCCCTATGCCCAGGATTTTCCAATGTATTTCATACCAAAAATCTCTTAGGCCATTGAAATCAGCTTTTCTGAAATCTGGCACTTTAACGAAATTTTCTCCTACAAATCTATTCCGGTTTATGCTAAATCTGATTTCTTTGTAATCACTGTTTCCTAGCTCACGCCCTATGTCGATGTCACTAATTTGTGTCTTCCTGTTAGTTAACATTAAGTCTAAAATATTATTTTCCTGCTTTGGTTCCTTAATGTGTTGCTTAAGAAAACAATCGTCAATTAATTCTAGAAAATCTTCTGCTTCGTTATTCCCTGTTCTGTTAAGTTCTTTTTGTCGCCCATGAAAAATACTGTTAGACTTAGATGCTCTAGATATTTCATCCCATAGATGCTCTGCTTTCATTCCGTCGAAGTTTGGTGGCCTCTATATAACTCCTATCCTAAGACTTTTTAGCTTTTTCTTTTTTTTCTCTCCCCCCCCCTCCCTCCCTCCCTCCCTCTCTCTCTCTCTCTCTCTCTCTCTCTCTCTCTCTCTCTCTCTCTCTCTCTCTCTCTCTCTCTCTCTCTCTCTATATATATATATATATATATATATATATACATTTTTTTTTATTTTTTTTATAACCTGGAAGGGGTACCACAAATATATATATATATATATGATCTGTGTGAAATAGTTTAAATCCGTTTCTGTTTTCTATCTTCATCCATGTTTTGGTAAGTGCAAAAATATCTATTGTTTCTATGCAGACAAGAGCATTTAAATAGTCTATTTTGTTTCTTAGACTCCTACCGTTCGTGCAATATATCTTACGTATATTACCATTTTGAGGAACTTCTCCTTCCCTGTTCCTTTTGTCTATTTTTTCCCCAGCAACACATACAACGCAACACATACTAAACAGACACAAAGGAGGAAATTGCCTCCTTTTCCTCATATCAATTCCAATATCACTGTCAATTAATAATAACTTTTCAAAGAATTTCACACTTCCCAAGAAGCAAATCATAAAATGAGCCGCTCCTTTCATGTACTGTACTAATTTTTTTGCATTTAATTTGAACTTAAACAACCATCATCTCTATCCCCCTTCATGGGGGTGCATTGTAGCATTAAACCAAATGCATTGTAGCATTAAACCCAAACAAACCCCTCCAACAATGAGTGTGCATCAGCAACAACCCCAGACCTCGATAAATACACCCCCCTTCCATCTTGAGCATACATGTCATTCCTTACATAGAAATGTTCCCAGTTTTTAATGAATATTGCATTTGATTTACAATATTTGTCCAGTCGGCATTTGACACCACGTGCCTTCGACAACCATTCATTTCCAACTCCCTTTCTTGGAAGAATGCCACATATGACCGGGATTCCTCCCTTGCTCCTAACTAATTCTATGGCTGTCTTAAACCTCTGTATCAGTGACTCCTAACTCGTCCTACATCATTTACACCAGCACTAATACAAATAATGGGTTTGTTCCCATTTCAAGCCATAGTATCATTCATGTTGTTTACAATATCCTCAATTCCTGCTCCCGGATAGCAAACCTTTAACCTGTTTTCCCCTGTCTACGGCACAAAAAGCTCTATCCAAATACCTCGTCTGGGAATCTCCCACACCTTAACTGTTTAAAAATGACAACTTTACATGCGGACACCACAAAACATTATAGACAGTATGACATAGCAATTACCAGAATTAGGCTGGTATATCAATACTTATAGCAGGTGGCTACAGGTAATGAATCCCCCCAATGTTGAACATTCCAACTGTAAACTATGTGAGTAAAAGTTAGGACACATTCTCCAACACTATGTTTGGTGGTGCTCTGATTTCACACAAGGTATGAAATACCTTGAGCTGTGTAACTACTTCATACAGAGCTCAAGAGCTCATTTGATCTTATTCTGTGCGAAGGATCTGTAATCCTTCGTACAGATATGGGTAGCAGCACACTGTCACGTGCACCTAATCTTGTTCATAAAAATCAGAAAAGGATGGGTTTTGACGTTGGGAGCGGCCAGGTGGCTACCTTCCCTTGGGACCTTGGACTTAAGCTGGGGAGTGCTTGAAGGCAATATAAAGCTGCCTGCTGGAGGCTGCTCCTCACACAGCTTCTGCCAGCAAGATGAAGTGCCTCCTGGTCCTCCTCTCCCTCGCCGCCCTCACAAGGTAACACTGCTACACAACCCCACTTCTGTTGCAAGAGGGGTTGCTTAACGGTCCTTGTACTCCGGGACTAAACTAATATTTGGAATTATTCAGGGAATGTCAACTCACCAGTCAGCCACCAAGGCTTGGGATGCAGAACGGGAATGTTATGAGATGCATTACAACAGTTCCCAAACATTTAATATTATTTATATTGAAGCAAATGGATCAATATGTTTATCAACACTAGAGTACAAGATGTCCTGCAGCACAGTGGTGTACATTATTATTCTCACTCCCTTTTACATGCTCACATCCAAGAGGTTAATCTAAATAATTATATAAAAATATATTAGGCTACTAAAACGAAAAACTCACTACCTGTTGATTGTTGAGAATAGCTAGTTTTACTTTTATATGCTGTCCTCGTGGTACAGTGGTAAGATACTCCCCATGAGCTTTGCGAGCGATTTGGCCTGGGGTTCGTATCGTGGCCAGGAAGGATTGACTACACGCCAATCCTTAACTGTACGCCTCTGTTCACCCAGCAGTGAATGGGTATCTGGTTGTTAAACGATTTGGCGGGTCATATTCCAGGGAAAATTAAGATTAAAGACCTGCCTTAAATGTGTGCTAATGGCTTTGTTAAACTTCACTTGTGGTTTAGGCAAGTTAGTGCAAATTGCACAGACACGAGTTTTCCCATATTGACAGTGGTTTGACGAAAAACGTGAAGTAACCCCTCACCATTCTGGTACCCTTGGGAGGTGGAGATATTTGGGGTTAAATACCTCGAAATCTCTATCTCTTTTTAAGGGTCTGAGTTGGAGTAGTGGGCTAAGGCGTACTAGTTATGGGAGCTACTGGAAGGTGGTTGTGCTTTCTGGGTTCAAGGCCCACTGGTGGGTGTAGTCTAAAGTTTGTTAAACTTCACTTGTGGTTTAGGCAAGTTCACACAAGGTATGAAATACCTTGAGCTATATATATATATATATATATATATGTGTGTGTGTGTGTGTGTGTGTGTTTCTTGTTTGGGTAGGTACGCGAGTCTTATTTTCCTCGGCGTCACTCCTTTTATATGAAAGGAACCGTCGGAAATGCATATTATATATATATATATATATATATATATATATATATATATATATATATATATATATATATATATATATATATATATATATATATATATATATATATATATATATTTGGGCCTCGAACCCAGAAAGCACAACCACCTTCCAGTAGCTGCCATAACTAGTACGCCTTAGCCCACTACTCCAACTCAGACCCTTAAAAGAGATAGAGATTTCGAGATATTTACCCCCAAATATCTCCAACTCCCAAGGGCACCTGAGTGGTGAGGGGTTACTTCACGTTTTTCATCAAGCCACTGTCAATGTGGGAAAATTCGTGTCTATGCAATATGCACTAACTTGCCTAAACCACAAGTGAAAATTCAGCCGCCAGAGCATGGTTTAGGCAAATTAGTGCATATCTATATGAGCATAGACATGCTCACCACATACAAGATTCTCAGAGGAATTGATAGAGTAGATAAAGATGGTTTTTTTAAAAAAAGGTGGTACAAGCACAAGGGGACACTTGTATGTGTCCCCTTGTGCTTGTACCTTTTCAGTGTGCTTGAACTTTTTCAGTGTCAGAGTAGTTAACAAATGGCACTGATGTGGTGGAGGCTGACTCCATACACAGTTTCAAATGTAGATATGATAGAGCCCAATAGGCTTAGAAATTTGTGCACCGGTTGACTGACAGGCAGGACTAAAGAGCCGAAGCTCAACCCCCGTAAGCACAATTAGGTAAGTGAGTACTGGAAGACAAGGATGTAGGGTCAAATCGTACACAAGGTGATTCAACAAAAGCTCGTTTTCTGTTCAGTTAAAATCATATAAAACACGTTAGGATGTGTTAGCTTAGCTTAGGCTCGGTTTAGTTAGATGAGGCAGCTTCGGGTTAGATTATGTTAGTTATGCTTTAGAGTCTGTTCACACTTCGTCTCATGTACGATGTGAATATATCCGACTAAGTTAGACGATGGCTGTGTACTAGTGTTTAAAATTAGCCTTTGGTAACAACAAACACAGAATACTGATACAATATATATTTATTACAAATTAGTTACAGAGGTTCGTGATAAATAGTATGTGGACGTTGTAGCAGGTTGAGCCGGAGTGTTTGAACCCTAGTTGCAGTAGAGATGACAATTAACTTCTGGCCAAGCGGCTCGTCGTATATCGAAAGTGATGTTATTCTTGACCACCTGTGAAGCGAGTCAAGTTAAGCTACGATTCCGGCGCCTTGTATCCACGTCCTGACCTCTGTTTCTTGCTGCAGGCTGCTCGTAATTCCATTGATGGGAACTGCTTGACTTCTGTTGGATGTTATTATTAGTTTGTGGGATTTCTTGGGAGCATCTTGCAGTTTTCAGCAGTTGTATGAGGGATTCCTGTAACTGTGGAATACTTGGGGATAGTTAAAGTAACTGCTTTATTATTATTAATGTACTTGCTCCTCCTGCACCCGGAGCAAAATGACCGACTGTTTCATTGCTGCAGGGCTCAAGAATTTCCAGCCTGCTTATGCGGTGCCTTTATTACCTTGATGGAAGAGGAGATTGAGGTCTTCAGGTTACCTCCCATCGAAGTGGCGGACTGTGACGCCACTACGGACTGCCGTGCAAGGTGCATAGATGAGGTAGGACTCAGTGCGCTCCCTCCATCCCCATAATATAATTTTTCATTACTATAGTATATGATCTTGCTAGAGAATCATCACCGGATATATATTGATCACGGCAGAGATATCATTCTGAGTAATTAACTCGTGTATTAATGTGTCTTTACTTTTTATTACTGTCTGATGACAAGGATGTTTGTGTTGCAGTGGACGACAATAACTGAAGACGGGGATCTGGACTACACCTGGCTGGACGGGGTGACCATCGGCCAGCACATGTGTGACTCTCTCCACGATAATGACCACTCTGATGTTGGCCCACATGAGGTAACTAACACACACACACACACACACACACACACACACACACACACACACACACACACACACACACACAAGCCCACATAAAGAGAATAACGTCTGCGGCATATGCGAGGCTGGCTAACATCAGAACGGCGTTCAGGAACCTGTGTAAGGAATCATTCAGAATCTTGTACACCACATATGTAAGACCAATCCTGGAGTATGCGGCCCCAGCATGGAGCCCGTACCTTGTCAAGCACAAGACGAAGCTGGAAAAAGTCCAAAGGTATGCTACTAGACTAGTCCCAGAACTAAGAGGCATGAGTTATGAGGAAAGGCTGCGGGAAATGCACCTCACGACACTGGAAGACAGAAGAGTAAGGGGGGACATGATCACAACCTACAAAATCCTCAGGGGAATCGACCGGGTAAACAAGGACGAACTTTTCAACACTGGTGGGACGCGAACAAGGGGACACAGGTGGAAGCTGAGTACCCAAATGAGCCACAGAGACGTTAGAAAGAACTTTTTCAGTGTCAGAGTAGTTAGCAAATGGAATGCATTAGGAAGTGATGTGGTGGAGGCTGACTCCATTCACAGTTTCAAATGTAGATATGATAGAGCCCAATAGGCTCAGGAATCTGTACACCAGTTGATTGACGGTTGAGAGGCGGGACCAAAGAGCCAGAGCTCAACCCCCGCAAGCACAATTAGGTGAGTACAATTAGGTGAGTACACACGGGGGTTGAGCCAGAGCTCAACCCCCGCAAACACAACTAGGTGAGTACACACACACACACACACACACACACTCACACACACACACACTCACACACACACACACTCACACACACACGCACACTCACACACACACACACACTCACACACTCACACACACACACTCCATAAACATACTGTGTATGGAGTCCGCCTTCACGCAAGTAGGTGAATACACACACACACACACCCTAGTAGGAATGAGCGACCATAGCGTACTGGCGTTTCAGTATCTGGTTGAGGAAGCGTTACTGAACTCGAGGAGGGGTACTGAAAGCAAAAGGCTGGCATTCCGAAAGGGAAACTATGAGGAGTTAAGAAAATTCCTAACAGATATAGCATGGGAAACAGAGCTCAGGGGAAAGACGGCCCAAGATATGATGGACTACATCACGCAGAAGTGTAAGGACGCAGCAGACAAGTTTGTCCCAGTCCAAAAGAAAAACAGAGAAACGAAGATGGAAAACTCATGGTTTAATCAGAGATGTAGGCTAGCTAAGCAGCAAAGTAAAAGGGCGTGGAGAAACTATAGGAATAACAGGACACTGGAGAGCAGAGAAAGATACCAGAATGCCAGGAATGAATATGTCAGGATGAGAAGAGAGGCAGAAAGACAATACGAAAATGACATCGCAAGCAAGGCAAAGACTCAACCCAAATTGCTGCACAGCAACATCAGGAGAAAAAACAAGAGTAAAGGAACAGGTAATGAATATAAGGATAGGGGCAGAAGGATTCTCTACAAACGACAAGGAAGTGTGTGAAGAACTGAATAAGAAATTCCAGGTCTTCACCTTAGAACAAGGAGAGATTCCAGAGATAAGAGAGGGAATAGTTAACCAAGATCCACTAGAAGAGTTTGAGATTACCAGTGGGGAAATAAGGAAGTGTTTACTAGAGTTGGATGTGACAAAGGCTATAGGCCTGGATGAATCTCCCCTTGGATACTAAAGGAAGGAGCAGAAGCAATGTGCCTGCCACTCTCCATAGTGAAACAAATCACTGGCAACAGGGGAACTGCCAGAAATTTGGAAAGAAGCTAATGTAGCTCCGATATACAAGAAAGGGGATAAACAGGAGACACTGAACTACAGGCCAGTGTCCCTAACCTGCATACCATGCAAGCTGATGGAGAAGATTGTGCGTAGAAAGCTATCTGGAGCGAAAGAACTTTGTACCACACCATCAACATGGGTTCAGGGATGGCAAGTCCTGCGTTCAGGGATGGCAAGTCCTGCCTCACAGGGCTAATTTAATTCTACGACCAGGCAACAAAAATCAGGCAAGAAAGAGAGGGGTGGGCAGACTGCATATTTTTGGAGTGTCAGCCTCTTATGCGGTACTGTGTCAAAGGCTTTCCGACAATCCAAGAAAATGCAGTCCGCCCAGCCCTCTCTTTCTTACTTAATCTTTGTCACCTGGTCGTAGAATTCTATTAAGCCAGTCAGGCAAGATTTACCCTCCCTGAACCCATGTTGGCGATTTGTCACGAAGTCCCTTCTCTCCAGATGTGTTACCAGGTTTTTTCTCACGATCTTCTCCATCACCTTGCATGGTATACAAGTCAAGGACACTGGCCTGTAGTTCAGTGCCTCTTGCCTGTCGCCCTTTTTGTATATTGGGACCACATTCGCCGTCTTCCATATTTCTGGTAGGTCTCCCGTCTCCAGTGACTTACTATACACTATGGAGAGAGCAAGTAAAGTGCCTCTGCACACTTTTTCAGTACCCATGGTGAGATCCCGTCTGGACCAACAGCCTTTCTAACATCCAGATCCAGCAGGTATCTCTTGACCTCCTCTCTCGTAATTTCGAACTCTTCCAAGGCCGCCTGGTTTACCTCCCTTTCTCCTAGCACAGTGACCTCACCTTGTTCTATTGTGAAGACCTCCTGGAACCTCTTGTTGAGTTCTTCACACACCTCTTTGTCATTCTCTGTATACCTGTCCTCGCCTGTTCTAATTTTCAATACCTGTTCTTTCACTGTTGTTTTCCTTCTGATGTGACTGTGGAGTAGCTTTGGTTCGGTCTTGGCTTTGTTTGCTATATCATTTTCAAAACTTTTCTCTGCTTCTCTTCTCACCCTGACATACTCATTCCTGGTTCTCTGGTATCTCTCTCTGGTTTCTGGTGTTTTGTTATTCCGGAAGTTCCTCCACGCCTTTTTGTTCAGTTTCTTCGCTTCCATACATGCCCTATTATACCATGGATTCTTCTGTTGCTTCTCGGATTTTTCCCTTTGGGCCGGGATGAACCTGTTTACTGCCTCCTGACTCTTTTGGGTAACATAGTCCATCATACCCTGTACAGACTTATCTCTGAGGTCTGTGTCCCAAGGTATTTCCCTTAGGAAACTTCTCATCTGTTCATAATTCCCCCTTCGGTATGCCAGCCTTTTGATTCCTAGTTCTTTTTTGGGGGAGATAATTCCTAGGTCTACCAGGTACTCAAAGTTCAATACACTGTGATCACTCATTCCCAAGGGCACTTCCATCTTAACTTCCCTTATATCCCACTCATTTAGGGTAAATATCAAATCAAGCATTGCTGGTTCATCTTCTCCTCTCATTCTTGTTGGTTCCTTGATGTGCTGGCTTAGAAAGTTTCTTGTTGCCACGTCCAGCAGCTTAGATCTCCATGTTTCTGGTCCTCCATACGGGTCTCTTTTCTCCCAATCTATCTTCTCATGGTTGAAGTCTACCATAATTAGTAGTCCAGATCCATTCCTGCTAGCAACAGAAGCTGCTCTTTCTATTATGTTAATGGTGGCCATGTTGTTTCTATCATATTCCTGTCTGGGTCTTCTGTCATTTGGTGGTGGATTATATATGACTACGACTATAATTTTGTTCCCTCCAATTGTTATGGTACCTGCTATGTAGTCACTGAAACCCTCACAACCCTGAATAACCATCTTCTCAAAATCCCAGCCTTTTCTTACCAGCAGAGCTACACCACCCCCACCTCTTCCTTCCCTCTCTTTCCTCATAACATAATAGTCCTGTGTGTGTGTGTGTGTGTGTGTGTGTGTGTGTGTGTGTGTGTGTGTGTGTGTGTGTGTGTGTGTGGAAAAAAATTAGTTAGTAGTTAGTAACAGTTGATTGAATGAGAGTTGAGAGGCGGGCCGACAGAGCAGAGCTCAACCCCTGCAAGTACAACTAGGTGAATACACACACACACACACACACACACACACACAGTGAGGACCTCCAGTGAGGTCTGGAGAAAGTTCAAAGGTTTGCCACCAGACTAGTACCCGAACTGAGGGGTATGAGCTACGAGGAGAGACTACGAAAATTAAACTTCACGTCACTGGAAGACAGAAGAGTTAGGAGGGACATGATCACTACAAACAAGATTCTCAAAGGAATTGATAAAGTAGATAAAGAGAGAATATTAACACAAGGGGCACACGCACTAAGGGACACAGGTGGAAACTGAGTGCCCAAATGAGCCACAGAGATATTAGAAAGAATTTTTTAGTGTCAGAGTGGTTGACAAATGGAATGCATTAGGAAGAGATGTGGTGGAGGCTGACGCCATACACAGTTTCAAGTGTAGATATGATAGAGCCCAATAGGCTCAGGAACCTGTACATCTGTTGATTGACGGTTGAGAGGCGGGACCAAAGAGCCAGAGCTCAACCCCCGCAAGCACAATTAGGTGATTACACACACACACACACACACCAACCCATCCTCCTAAGGTTCCCAACGTCACGAAACTGTTGAAGTAAAGTGCCCTCTCCTAAGCTACCAGAGAACCCAAAACAGGAAACGGGCCAATATGTCAATTTCGCAAGCTGCGGAATTGCACACAATTTTTGGCATTGGGTAGAGTATATGTCAAAATGCAGGGTTCTATTAAAAGGATGGGTTGCGTACACATAGATGATAATGGTTTCCCCCTGCATATAGATCCCCGCTAATTTTCCGAAATATTTCCAGGTGTACCTGTACTACAATATCTGCCTTGGGCCCTGGATTTACACCGGCCAGACGAGCAGAAATACTCTTTGTTGCAGCAGCAGTAATTACCTCACCTGCCCGCCACCCCCCACAGTGTTTCAAAACTAGTCTAGTAGGAACTGAAAAAAACACTACAACTACTGTTGCTGCCTTACTTCAACGACCTGAGGTGGCACTCTAACAACTTCTACCACCTGCCCTAACAACCACCTGCAAGAGGTCACTGGAACACCACGTCTCCATAGACAATTTTAGTGATCTTTTTCATTCTCAAAATGTAAACAACAAATAAATGGCAACAATGATTATTTAGAACCTACACTTGCGTTTTCTTGTGGATAATGGACACTAACTCACCTGACTGTCGCTGTAACACCCCCTCCCACCACACAAGCAAGGTTACCTGTCCAAAATAATCCAGCAGCGAATAAAAATTCACTGACTGTAGTGTAACTATATCACCCACAGACTTCCTGATAAAATTCAATTTGTTCAAAGATTCCTCACTCTGTGGTAGCGACTACTACACCAAATCTACACAGTAAAATAACAACGTACTGGAGTGAACGATATGGAAGAAAATGCAGAATAGAACCAGTGAAGAGCAGAGGTGCCATAGGCACAATCAGAGAACACTGTATAAACATCAGAGGTCCGTGGTTGTTCAACGTCCTCCCAGCAAGCATAAAAAATATTGCCGGAACAACCGTGGACATTTTCAAGAGGAAACTAGATTTATTCCTCCAAGGAGTGCCGGACCAACCGGGCTGTGGTGGGTATGTGGGCCTGCGGGCCGCTCCAAGCAACAGCCTAGTGGACCAAACTCTCACAAGTCAAGCCTGGCCTCGGCCCAACCTGTCCTCTTAAAAATAACGTCGCTTTGGCCGTTTGCCCGTATGGCCGAAAGTGGACGTAATTTGAAAATGAAAAAAAAATGAAAATAAATTTGGGATTTTATTTTCAACAACAGTAAGTAAGGGTCCTCTGATAGGTTAGGTGGGCAGGAAATTCTCATAAAGTTTCAAAACGTTATGAAAAACGTTAATTGAAAGTTTCCTCTTCTAACCTTACCGAGTAGGCCGGACGACTCAAACAGAAAACGGAACAGTACGTCACTTTTGTGAGTCGATTTAATTTAAAATTACGTCCAAATTTGGCCATAGCGCGCATACCAGCGAAAAGTGACATTATTTTTAAGAGGACGGGTTGCATCTTTATTATTTCTAGACACATGGAAATAAATTGTTGTTACGTTTGCACATTGTTCTCGTAAATGCGTCGTAACATAAGGCAAATAAAATTTTCATATTAGCCAAGTAATAAGACAATAAGCAAAGGAATAAGATCCAAGTCTTCTGTAGTAAATATCAGCGCAAAAACAACATTAATAATCTTCGTTGCATCTCCTTCAGAATAAACAAAGTCACAATTTCCTGCAACTACTTGTTAATTAATAGACTCAGACAAATTTGTTTGTAATTTTATGGATTTTATAATTAGAAATGTCGTAGTAGAAGGGTTGGTACACACGGCTTGAGTAAGGGTACGGGGCGGAGGGAAGTGGTGGGTGGATGAAGCAATAGGTCTTGAGGCTGGGAGCGACCAGGTGGCTGCCATACCTTAGCACCTTGGACTCGTGCTAGGTAGGACTGGGAGACAGTATAAAAATGCCTGCTGGAGGGTGCTCATCCCCCACACCTTCTGCCAGCAAGATGAAGTGCCTTCTGGTCCTCCTCTCCCTCGCCGCCCTCGCAAGGTAACACTCTGCTACACAACCCAACTTCTGGTCCATTACTCAACTGGTCTTGTACTCCCTGGCTAAACTTTCCACACAACAGTCAACCACCAAGACTTGGGGGTGGAAAAGTTATAATATTTATTACAAGATTTCCCAAATAGTTTATATTTGTTAATCTTATGGCGGTACATTAGATATCGATACCATCATATAAAAATGTACAAGTTCATTCAACTTGTGTTTATGATCAGTGAAGCTCAGCATCATGCTGGGCAGGAACACAACGGGAAGGACACCTGTAGCATGTGTCCCATTACACCTGTTGTAACATGTGTACCATCACACCTGTTGTAATATGTGTACTATCACACCTGTTATAACACGTGTTGCACCATCACACCTGTTGTAGCACGTGTACCATCACACCTGTTATAACACGTGCCCCATCACACCTGTTATAACACGTGTCCCATCACACCTGTTATAACACTGCCACCCTCTCACAATTGTATTTTTTAAGATGTATTAACATTAATCACTTACGTACTTCAAAAGTGATTATGAAATAATATTTGGGACAGTTCTCACAGAGATAAAGAAGGAACAGTGTAGGTACGAGCCTCTTTAATAACTAACTGCTCAGATGTGGGGCTTAAAATGAAGACCATTAATGTGTAACATAAATATAATCGAGGAAATATATGAAAAACATTGTTAATGAAACAGTTATCAGAACAGGACACATCAGGGACTGACCTCGATTCTTTTAAGCTTGACTACGAACAGTATCTGCACGAAACTGAAGGTATAATAGAACAAAGTAATAGGGGAATAAATGAAATAGAAAGATTAAACAAAATTATTGAGTCAAATTTGGTCGAAAACGAGTTGGAGTATCTTTTGTAGTATTATTATTTAGTAATTTATTATGTACCATTCTCGCGGGCGGTGGTGGAATGTTTATTTTTGTATCAACAAGGAATTATGGTATCATGATGACGGGAGGAATTATGTTATCAAATTCACGCGGGAACTTTCCTTCGTGTAAACCCTGGTGTCAGGTGACTCCTGGTACTGGTAAACCCCGGTACCAGGTGACTCCTGGTACTGGTAAACCCCGGTACCAGGTGACTCCTGGTACTGGTAAACCCCGGTACCAGGTGACCCCTGGTGCTGGTAAACCCCGGTACCAGGTGACTCCCAGTGTACTAGTCACGTAACATCAACAAGGAGGTAACCGAGTGTTTCACATGTGCAGGGCTCAAGACACCTTTGAGTGCGAGTGTGCCGCCTATGTTACAATGGGCGACAAGGAGGTTGAGGTCCTCAAGTTTCCCACCACCACCATTGACGACTGTACCACCGACTATCCCGTCTGCTTCGAGCGATGCTCCAACGAGGTAAGACTCGTAACTCATCCCCAGATACACACACTTTCCTCTGTCAATATATTATGATCTCTTGTCGTGTAAGGTAATTATCAGGTGAAAACACCTGTTGTAATCCACAAGTGTTGTAGTAATGATCCTCTAGCTAATAATTCCTACTAACTTGTGGATTACAACACACCAAGTCATTATGATTATATAGAGCTTGGAGGGGTAAGGATAAGGATGTGGATAAGGATTTAGGTTAAAACGAAGGAAGAGAATAGTGTCCAACCACTTGAACAGTCGTGGCTACATAGTCTTCCCGGCTTGGTGCCTTCTTTTGATAATTACTTACACGGACGGGTGAGGATTGAACGCCGGCCTGAAAGAGGCAGATAGCCGATCTATACCGTCCTGTCCAATGATATTACAGTAACGTAATATATCTATAATAAAATCTTTGGAGCAGTGCGGTGGAATTGAACCTGCTTCCTGGGACACCTTAGATGCACGCATTACCCAAGCATATCGTGGTCCATGGGTAAGACATACATTTGGGGGGTGGCGTAGGACGCAGGTTCGATACCAACACTCTGTTCCAAGGATTTTCTTTCATAATCTACTAATCTTTCTAGAGATAACATTCGAAGTAATGTCTCTGTATTTTTCAATAGATAACGTGTATTAACATTTTGTTTTATTTCCTTACTCTCGGAGGATAACGATGTTTGTGTGTTGTGTTGCAGTGGAACTTTTTAACAGGAGACGGGAGTCTGAACATTGTCGGTCCGGACGGCGACGGGATATTGATCGGCCAACACATGTGTGACACTCTCAAGGGTTCTGGCATCACCGAACTTGGCCAACATATAGTAAGTCATACGTAGCACTAAATATACTGAACAAAACTGAAGCTGAAGTTTGTCAAGGTTATTAGTACAGTATTCAGTGAGCTGAGTATAATTCCTGTGATAATGAGTCATGAGAGGAACCTTGGGCGGAGTCTCATTCATTGTGCAGTACATAAATTGTTCGTGATCATTACAGGTGTACCTGTACTACCATGTCTGCAACGCGGGTCCCTGGATATTCACCGGTCAGTACAGCCATGGTAATCTGTGTTGCACTAGCGGTAAATACTACGACTGTTAAGTGACATCAATTCATCGGGTGTCTCTAGAAGGCCACAGAATCTGAACATCGTCAAGGGAAAGCTGTGAAACAGGCACTACTGCTGCTGCTGCTGATCCATCAATACAAGCCAGCTGTTTTTCCTAGACCTGCTTACTTAACTACCCAGCAGAAGTGGCCGTCCTAACAGCTTCCGTCAACTAGAAGCTCTTAGGACTTCTACTTGCACGAGGTGACAAGAGTGTCGTCTTTTCACAGATAAAGGCTATCTGTCAAAGACAATGGCTACCTTAGCCATTATATAAATATATATAAATAAAGGATTCAAATATGATTTTTGCAAGGACATTTAATTTCACACTCGCACATTACCCGCTCCTGTGCCAGGTAAGTTACGGGCTCACCATAGCCCGTGCTACTTGGAACTTGTTCCGAGTAGCTGAATCTATAACAACAACAACAACTCGCACATTCTTGTGCTTTCCAGACCCCACACAGAGTACCTGATGCTGTATGGTGCAAGTTGTGAGAGACTGAGACTTTTACGTTTTGACCTTAATGTTTAGAGCTTGAGAGTGTACATTCCTTTACACGTGTGACTATAACAGCTAAATGAATAACTGATATTCGCAATCACAGTTATTGCAGCAAGGTGTAAGGTCAGAACTTTTGTCCTGTAAGTAATTTCATTCAGTGCGCTTCCCCGAGCTTGTCTATGCCAGCCTGACAAATGTGTTTAATTTGTTGAGTGAAATTCTCAAGAACCGAAACGCCTAAGAACAATGAAATATTAAGAATTTGATGAATTCATGAATATTGAGGCCGTACAATGGGATCGAACCCGCGTTCCTGACCAGTGTACCTGATGAGTACAGGGACGCTTGGATTCTATTGTAAGTCCTCAATATTTAAGATTTCATTGTGTCAGGGGACAGGAAGCCAGTTTGTACATAAAGTACACGTTAGGATTATATCAAGGTCCTCCCCCCCCCTTCCCCACGGTCGAATTACTGATCCTCCTCAGGATGCAACCCTATAAAAAGCTGACTAACTATTTACCTATTTACTGATAGCTGAACAAAAACATTATATATACAAAATTAATCAGTCTCCGTGGTGTAGTGGTAAGACACTCGCCTGGCGTTCCGCGAGCGCTATGTCATGGGTTCGTATCATGGCCGGGGAGGATTTACTGGGCGCAATTCCTTAACTGTAGCCTCTGTTTAACGCAACAGTAAAATGTGTACTTGGATGAAAAAACGATTCTTCGCGGCAGGGGATCGTATTCCAGGGACCATAGGATTAAGGACTTGCCCGAAACGCTACGCGTACTAGTGGCTGTACAAGAATGTAACAACTCTTGTATATATCTCAAAAAAAAAAAAAAAAAAAAAAAAAATTAGCCTTCAAGAACAAGAATCACAGTGTAGTTAGAGTACCAGAGAATTAACATGCGCAAATAAAACTTTGACCCACATGTAGCGAACAAAATATGATTGTGTCGGACACGACGAAAAATGGAGAAGTGAATATTTTTAATGAAACATTATTTTACAATCGCAAAATAAGTTTCATTGAAGTTATGGAATTGACAAGCAAGTTATCACCGAAGCATATAGCACATCATGGAAGGATAACTGATATTAGCAACATGAGGTGATGTAAATAACATATCTTATAAAACACTTATCTCATTACAGATTAAAAAATCATAAATTTAAATGTTAATTTACATCTGTATAAGGTTATCCACTGACACCCAAGCTGAAACTCAATCTCTTATACATCTCAACATCTTCAAGACACTGATTAGCACATATCAATTATTGATATACAGTTTTGTTCATCATCATACATAAATTATTTCGGTGGTGAACGCTGGCAATGACTGACGGACTGCTGGCAGGTAATTTAATGAGTCAGGTATTGAAAGCCTCGGGGCAGGTAGCCTTCGGGGCAGGTAGCCTCGGGGCAGGTAGCCTTCGGGGCAGGTAGCCTTCGGGGCAGGTAGCCTCGGGGCAGGTAGCCTTCGGGGCGGGTAGCCTCGGGGCAGGTAGCCTCCGGGGCAGGTAGCCTCGGGGCAGGTAGCCTCGGGGCAGGTAGCCTTCGGGGCAGGTAGCCTCGGGGCAGGTAGCCTTCGGGGCAGGTAGCCTCGGGGCAGGTAGCCTTCGGGGCAGGTAGCCTCGGGGCAGGTAGCCTTCGGGGTAGGTAGCCTTCGGGGCAGGTAGCCTCGCGGCAGGTAGCCTTCGGGGCAGGTAGCCTTCGGGGCAGGTAGCCTCGGGGCAGGTAGCCTTCGGGGCAGGTAGCCTCGGGGCAGGTAGCCTCCGGGGCAGGTAGCCTCGGGGCAGGTAGCCTCGGGGCAGGTAGCCTTCGGGGCAGGTAGCCTCGGGGCAGGTAGCCTTCGGGGCAGGTAGCCTCGGGGCAGGTAGCCTTCGGGGCAGGTAGCCTCGGGGCAGGTAGCCTTCGGGGCAGGTAGCCTCGGGGCAGGTAGCCTTCGGGGTAGGTAGCCTTCGGGGCAGGTAGCCTCGCGGCAGGTAGCCTTCGGGGCAGGTAGCCTCGCGGCAGGTAGCCTTCGGGGCAGGTAGCCTTCGGGGCAGGTAGCCTCGGGGCAGGTAGCCTTCGGGGCAGGTAGCCTCGGGGCAGGTAGCCTTCGGGGCAAGTAGCCTTGGGGCAGGTAGCCTCGGGGCAGGTAGCCTCGGGGCAGGTAGCCTTCGGGGCAGGTAGCATTCGGGGCAGGTAGCCTCGGGGCAGATAGCATCGGGGCAGGTAGCCTCGGGGTAGGTAGCCTTCGGGGCAGGTAACCTCGGGGCAGGTAGCCTTCGGGGCAGGTAGCCTTCGGGGCAGGTAGCCTCGGGGCAGGTAGCCTCGGGGCAGGTAGCCTTCGGGACAGGTAGCCTCGGGGCAGGTAGCTTTCGGGGCAGGTAGCTTTCGGGGCAGGTAGCTTTCGGGGCAGGTAGCCTCGGGGAAGGTAGCCTTAGGGGCAGGTAGCCTCGGGGCAGGTAGCCTCGGGGCAGGTAGCCTCGGGGCAGGTAGCCTTCGGGGCAGGTAGCCTCGGGGCAGGTAGCCTCGGGGCAGGTAGCCTCGGGGCAGGTAGCCTCGGGGCAGGTAGCCTTCGGGGCAACTTAATGGCTCAAGTGTTGAAGGTCACATTGAGATGTATCGGTTGATCTGAGTTAAACAGATCTGATGACTCGTTTTAATACAAAAGATGTCTAAACATTACGATGTCTAAACATTACGATGTCTAAACATTACGATGTCTAAACATTACGATGTCTAAACATTACGATGTCTAAACATTACGATGTCTAAACATTACGATGTCTAAACATTACGATGTCTAAACATTACGATGTCTAAACATTACGATGTCTAAACATTACGATGTCTAAAAAATTTAATATATAAATAGCTGTAAGAAAATATGAATGAACGATATCAAGATAACGATGAGGGGTTGTGAGGTAGGGGGGAGTAAGGTTGAAACAGGTAGGGGGTGTAAGGTAACAGGTAGAGAGGGGGTAGTGGGAGGGGCTGACCTGATATTACGACGGTAGATTCAGCGTCGGCGGCAGGGGGGAGGGGGGGAGGTGTGACGTAAGGTGGCGCCGGAGTGGGAGGGGTAGGCCGGGGGGGGGGATAGGCCGGGGGGGGGGGAGGGGTAGGCCGGGGAGGGGGGGGGGGGGGGGGGAGGGGTAGGCCGGGGGGGGAGGGGTAGGCCGGGGGGAGGGGTAGGCCGTGGAGGGGGGGGAGGGGTAGGCCGGGGGGGGAGGGGTAGGCCGGGGAGGGGGGGTAGGCCGGGGGGGAGGGGTAGGCCGGGAAGGGGGGGGAGGGGTAGGCCGGGGGGGGTGGTAGGCCGGGGGGGGGAGGGGTAGGCCGGGAAGGGGGGGTAGGGGGGGTTAATTAACGACATATGATGTAGCCGGTAAATGCTACATTTTTAGTTACTTATATAGAAATATTCTAGTTTCTAAGTAGGAATTTTACTTAAACGTATACAGTCTAAAGTATCTGTTTATGACCGTAGAGTTTAATCTCAGTAAGATGGGAGCGGACTTTACCCTGACTTTTATAAGAAACTTCTATGTTCTTGGAAAATATTTTCATAATAAGAAACCTTTAAGACCATAGCTGAAACTGAGACCGTGAATTTCTCCCATAAGAATCCTTTAAGACCTTAGCTGAAACTGACCCCAAATATTCTCAGTTTCAGCTAAGGCGTCATCCCTACTACTGTCAATTAGACTAATTAACAAAGTTCTAGGAGGAGTGGTGGCGGCATTATTTGTTTATGATTAACCTTATCTCCCATCTGGTCTGTAAGAACTGTAAATATATTTATAACATCTTGGTCATTTCTCCCCCCCCCCTTCCCCTGATAGCTGGATGAGCATTTTCTGCTGCTAGGGTGGACTCTTCCCAGTTCTTTGGGGTTTTACAATACAATTGTTACTGCCTAAAGGGTTACCAGTTATATCAATCATTACAGTGAGTGTTACCATAGTTGTACAATAACAGCAGTACTTGATTGTCAGTGATCGTTACAATGGTGACACTTGAGTTGTGTTACATGGGGCCCCGAGGGCAATAGCCTTTAAGCACATTAGGTAAGTAATTTGGAATGACTAGGAACTCTTAAGTACACATAGGCAAATTGTCTTCACTATGTACGAAATACGACGGTTTAAATGTATAATAGAAAACTACTAAGACTGGCCCCCAAGAGCTAGAACCTCTAAACAGGCTAAGCAAGTACACGGAAATGAGTAGGAACTCTTAAGTACTGTATACAGAGATTAATTATCTTTACTATGTACAAAATACGACAGTTTAAATATATAATGGAATCTACATGAGAATCTACAAAGACCGGGTCCCAAGCGTTAGAGTCTGTAAATGCATCTGTCTAGGCTCAGATAATTAGATAAGCTTTGCTTACTGACTTCGCGCATGCGCGTGATCACAACCATTCAGATTCCCTATTCCCACTCTCATTCTCTCAAATTCAAGGGTCTATCTATGTTGTCAAATACCCTACTATATCTCGCCTATGGTATCTGTGCCTGGGGATCTACAACCCTGAATTACCCTCGACCCCTAATTACCTGGCATAAATCAGCAGTTAGAAGTCACAAATTTCAGTCCAAGACAGCACTCGACCTTACTGAAATCACTGAATATTTTATCAAGTCACGGCCCTCCAGTTACAGCCCCACTCCTGTGCCAGAGCCCACTACGGGCTCACCATAGCCTGTGCTACTTGCAACATTTGTTCCGAGTAGCTGAATCTAAAACAACAAGAAGTCATAGCATATCCTCTCAGGTATCCTCTAT